CCTGCCTCTCCTGACAATCGCTCGCTCTCTGGGCTTCTTCCTTTCTCTCCCTGGCACCAAGAGTGTGAGGCGGGCGGGACTCGTTGCAGGGCAGCTCCGCACAGTGCCAGTGGAGGGCTGGGCTTCCCGGGGAGCTAGGGGAAGGGGGCTCGCTGCAGGGTGCCCAGCTGGGGCTTGGAGTCCATGAGCCTGCTGAGCCACTCCGTGTATTGGGAGACCCGGGTGTACACCCCGACATGGCCGGTGGCAGCGCAGCCCTCTCCCCAGCTGACCACACCCGTCAGGTACCACGTGCCTCTGTAGCGTGTGGCGTGGGGGCCCCCGCTGTCCCCCTTGCAGGCGTCCTTGCTGCCGTCCAGGTAGCCGGCACAGAACATGTTCTCTGTGATCACCGGGGAGTCCGGCCTCTGCTTGGATTGCTCCAGGCAGTCCTGGGTCATCAGCCTGGGCACCTCGATGGCCATGAGCTCCAGGGCCGTGGCACCACGGTCCAGCAGCTGGCCCCAGCCGCTGACCCACGAGAAGCGGATGCTGGCCAGCGTGTTCTCCGAGAAGGCCCTCTCCGGCAGACAGAGGGGCACCACGTGGTCAGTGAGGGTCACGGGCTGGTGCAGGCGGATAAGTGCGATGTCATGGTCAGTCTTGCCCACGATGTACTTGTCGGGAATGATGACCTGCACCACCCACCGGGCCTGCTCGTCCCCGTCGTCCTCGCTGAGGTCATGCTCGCCTGTGGGGAAGCCACAGCCTTCCCACATCAGGCTGGACACCCCGGGCTCTCGCTCCCCTCACCCTCCGGTCAGGAGCCCGTGGGTGGGGCACCTGAGCCTCCTCTGGGCCCGGGGGCTTGGTATTCAGGGTCATCCACAGAGCCTCCCCAGAGACGGTGTGTGGACAGGTGAATCTGGAACCTAGGGTCAAGGGCACCTAAGGAGGAAGTGGGGGACCCCCACAACTGGGCGGATGAGAAGGTCCCACTTTCTCAGAGAGCCTCCGAGCCGAGGCCTCCTTCCCAGTGCCTCCTGCGCCTGCCTGGCCGAGGCTCACCGGGCACAGGCCCTGCTCGTGTGGTCCCTGAGTCTTCCCGGTTCCACTTGGGAGCAGAGGGCGTGGACAGCATGGTGGCCAAGTGGTCCCGCCAGGGCTGCCCTTCGCACAGGCGTCTGATCAGGGGTTTGGGGGAGTGGGGAGCTTGCAGCCTCAACAGCTGGGCTGGGGTCATTAGAGAAGTTCCCTCAGGACCGCAGCGGAGCAGTACCCACCCAGCACCACGGACAGGTTCCTCCAGCTCCGGATCTTGTCAAAGCAGTGGGCTGCGGACACTACCCAGCTAGGGTCTAGCAGGGTGCCCCCACAGAGCAGCGCCCTGTTCAGCAACAGCACGGCCTGGGCAGGAGGTCACATGGTTGCCATGGCCTCCCTGTCCACTGGCTTTCCCTGAGCCCAGAGGGTGCACTGGACTGAGTGGACCCCCACCTGAAACCTGGGGCCACCACCAACCCTCCCCAGCAAAATGGTGTGGGCGTGACTCTGACAGAGTCCCCCGGGGCACTGGCCGAGGACATCAGGGTGGGCTTCTGCTGTGCACCTGCAGACCTCAGTGACAGGTGACCCGAGCTGGGGAGCACCTTGCACAGTCCTCTGCAGTAGCCTCAGGGCTGCCTCCCTCCCCTCCCCCCTGCGGGCTGGCTGGGCAGGCTGGGCCCCTTCAGTCCTGGGGCCAGTGAGCTCCCACCAAGAGCCTGGGGTGGGGAAGCGGGGGCTGGAGACCGGGTCTGTGTGGGCCTAGGACATCTTACCTGCCATGGACACTCCCCTTTGGGGCACACCCTGCCCCCCACAATTCGGCCTTGGGGGTTGTTGGCGTTCTTTTTTTCCAAAATGGGTATTTTCCCACACGGGTATTTGGCTACATAAAACAAAAGCCCAGAGGTGGCGGCTTAGGAGGGACGGAGGTGCCCATAGGTGGCGGCTCAGGAGGGACGGGGGTGCACAGAGGTGGCGGCTTAGGGGGGACGGGGGTGCCCAGAGGTGGCCGCTTAGGAGGGACGGGGGTGCACAGAGGTGGCGGCTTAGGAGGGACGGGGGTGCACAGAGGTGGCGGCTTAGGAGGGATGGAGGTACTCGCGGCTAGGGCTGAGAGCACTTGAACTCTGGGGACAGAAGCCACTCCACGGAGGCTCCTGCTGGGGTCTCTCTTCAGGCTCAGGGGCTGCTGCTGGACTGTGGAAGCGGCCTGCCGTGGAGAGGCAGAGGCCCTGCTTCCTGGAACTGGGTCCTGTCTGCCTTTCGCAGGGGGAGAGCCTCAGCCAGGTGAAGGGGTTCTGTCCTGGGACCCCGCCTGTCTGTCTCTGCCTGTATGAGAAGGTCCTGCCCTGTCCAGGCCTGCCAGCCTCGGGGTTCGGGTGCCCCCACTTGGGTATGGCAGTCCATCAGCCTGAGCTCCATTGGGAGGAAATTCCCGTTTTCCCATCAGCACATGCCTTTGGGAAGTTTTGTGGCCCAGAATTGTGCAGCAGTGGGCACAGACACGGTCACTCGCGTCCAGGAACCCCGTGGAGGCCCCATAAGGGGGTGTTAGAGGTGGGACAAGGCTTTGTTAGGCTCCATGGCCTGTCTGCCACGGTCAGGGGCCCAGGACCATGTGGTGAGCTGCCCGGGTCCTGTGCTGGGCTCCATGGCACTGGCCTGCCCTCGGGTGGGGCAGCCTCTCTGGCCTGGGCCCTTAGAGGGGGTTCCACCTAGTAGGAGCCCAGTGTACATCAGGCCATGTCACCTCTTGGTAGGCCAGGGTTGGTGCCTGGCTCCCTGGCATGGGCAGCCACAGCCCCTGGCCTGGTACCTGTGGGCATGCAGGACACTCCGTCCGGTTGCAGCGCGTACCCCTCGTGGCACCGGCAGGAGCGCTTGTCCCCCTCGCGGTCACTGCAGTATTGCTCACAGCCGCCATTCTCGTTCACACAGATGAGTTGGGTGTTCTTGTCTGGGACAGAGGGGACAACCTGAGAGGGGCCTTAGCAAGGTCAGCGAGAGACAGCTCCAGGGGCCGCTGTTCTCGTGCGCGTGGAGGGTGGTGTGCAGTGCGGGCACAGAGCCTGTGGGCGGTCAGGAAGGACAAGACCTGGAGCAGCCTTGCCCGAGGAGAAGCAGGTGGCTTCAGGGGGCGCCAGGGGGTGTGGGTGGCTCCAGGACTATCGGCTCTCCAAGCAGCTGGTGGGAGGCTAAGGAGGGCCGGGGAGAGCTGGACCTTTTCTGGGGACAGTGAGAGTGTCCACAGAATGGAGACCTTCCCAGTGAGAGGGTCAGAGCGGCCCTTGAGCCCGGGTGAGCCAGCTGGACCCTGGCCCCAACAGAGGAGGGGACCGTCCCTCAGTTTTCCTTGCTGTGGGCATTTTCCATGTGTGTGCCCAGGCTCTGGAGGGGAGGCTTGTCCGAGAGACTCAGCAAGGACTCACTGGGAGGTGGAGGTCCAAAGACAACGTGAATGACAGGTGGAGGCCTTGGGCCTCCAGGGGCTCCCCAGAGATCAGCCACACCATGTGGCGGAGGACCAGGACGCTTCCTGGGTGCCAGCTCAGGGGTGTTTCCCTGGTTGGTGACACCACTGGACAGGGTGACTGGAAGCTGGCACCCAGCCGCGGTGTGACTCCGTGTCCTGCACTGTGATAACAAACCCAGTGCTGGAGGATGGCAGAGCCCTGTGTGACCTGGCGAGCTCAGTGTGACCTGGGGGGCTGCCGAGCTCAGTGTGACCTGGGGGGCT